GATTTAGGACTGAGTTGAGGAGAAACCTCTTCACCCAAATGGTTGTGAATCTGTGGAATTTCCTGCTTAGAGAAACAGTTAAGGCTACGTCATTGAATGTTTTTAAGACAAAGATAGATTTTTGAACAGAATTTGAAAAAGAATTACAGTTTATGGTGAGCAGGTGGGTAAGTGGGGCTGAGTCAACGAAAAGACTACCCATAATCTCGTTGAATGGCAAAGCAGGCCCAACGGGCCAGATGGCCTACTCCAGCTCCTACTTCTTAGGTTCTTATGATTTTATCAAATCTATGGCCAACTGAATGCATTTATTAATTGAACTTTTTTTTTGCAATTTCAGTCTCATTATCTTCATCATCACTGACTTCTTAATTTTTATTTTCACCATTCTATACCATTCACAACATCTCTTCGTCAATCATTTGATTGACAATTGGTACATCATTGTCACCATCCATCCAGTTCTGTATATCCTCCTCTCTCAAATCTTTAAACACCTCAAGCACTTTTGGGATGGATATACTGTTGCCATACTCCAACAATTTAGGAATAATGGGCCATATTTTCCAGCATGTGGCAATCTCAAGCAGATTGCCATTCCAGCTCTTTTTACAAAAAGAAGGGAGTTCTGCATGGGGCCATTTGGCCCATCTTATCTGTGCTAACCTAAAATCACCAAGATGCCCTTTCTAATCCCATCTTTCTACACATAGCATAGCGTGCATAGACCTGCAGCTTTTAAACAGATCCAGGTACTTTTTGAAAGAGGTTAGGGTCACTGCCTCAATCACCAACTCAAGCAACAAATTCCAGACACCCACCACCATCTGCATAATCTTTTTTTCCTCACATCCCCTCTAATCCTTCTGCTGCTGAGCTTGAATCTATGACACCTGGTTTTTGAACTTTCTGCCATTGGAAACAGGTTCCTCCTGTCTACTCTACTTCTCAGAATTTTGTATGCCTCAATCATGTAGCCCCTCAGCCTTATCTGTTCCAAGGTAAAGAACCCAGCCTCTCCAGTCTCTCCTAGTAACTACAATTCTCCAGCCATAGCAACATTCAATTAAAACTTCTCTGCAGAGCACTTATGTCCTTCCTGTAATGTGGTGACCAGAACTGCGCAAAGTACTCCAGTTGTGCCCTTACCTCTGCATTTCACATCTCCTGAGAGGAGATTTTGCTCAGGGCTCCCTTAAAAATGCAGAGGTGTAATTTCATTTCAGCAATTCTTGTGTAGCATAGAGCTGTCAGAGGAAGGCAAACAATGTTCTCTTTTCACAGCATTCATCTGCTGTAATCTGAAATGTATAGGGCCTGACAACCATTTTGATAATTGTTGTAAAAGGCTAAGTACATAAGGTAAGTGTGATTTTAGAGTGCTGGGAGAGTTGGGTGCCAGGTAAATAGGGTGTCTGATCAGAAGGGCGTAGAACCCAGGTAAGTAGAGTGCCAACTAGCTCATTTGCCAGCTAGGGTAGGTAGAGTGTCAGCTGATTGGGGGTAGGATGAAGATGGCAAGGAAGCGGTTAAGTTTGTAAGGTAGTTCGGGGTGGGTTGCAAAATAGTGTCTGGTAGGGGGTGGGGAGGGATAAATTTGGGTCTGGGACTGTCTGGTCAGGGGAGAGAATTCAAGTCAAATTAGGTCTGGTGAGGGGAAAGGATGGTCATGTCTGCCGGCAAGGATGGGGGTGCAAGTGAGGATTGGGTCTGGTGGTGCTGGCACTAGGGACAAGGCACAGATCCCATGGTGGAGGTGGGTTAGGAGAGTATATTGGTGGCAGGGGTTGGGCCAGCAGCGAGAGGTTTTGGGTGTCAAGCAAGGTTGGAGAGGGGAGGGCGTGGGAGGGTAGGGGACATTTTTGAGGGCATGTTGGGTTCTAGGGCAGGGGGATATCAGGTTACTAGGCGGATGAAGGGTGTTGTGTTATGAGGTGGGTTCATATAAGGCACCGAGGAGATTATTGGTTCCCTCATTGATGTTGAGCCAGAATCTGGTGTGTAAAGGGTCTAGGGGTTGTAAGTGAGGTAAATATGGAGGCAGTTTAACAGTTCGTCAGGAGTTAGACTGTATATTTAAGAGTCTAACTTTCTTGAGTAATTATTTTACTTAATTTCATTGGAATAATTTGAAATCTGATTTTTATAGAGACTTCCGTAAAATTGTAGATTTAGTGAATTGCCCAGTAGAAAAGTCAATTCCCAATCAATTCCTTAGGAGACTGCTATGATGGGGATCATGTAGCGTCTCCTACTCAACCCTGATATATTTCAACAGAAGTGTCTGACCAGTGGAAAATCTGTTTGTTCATCTTGAGACAGCCTGAATCCAGCAAAGTCAGTCTCCTGAGCTATACCATACTGTTCTCAAACATTAAGGCTGGCCACTGTTTGTGCCACTCATCCTTGAGAGCATACAGTGTCACTTTTCCCAGGTGGAAGCTAGTGTCCAAATCATATCCTTAATGTTAAATTCTTCCTGAAACGTAACCACAAATCTCCTAGTATTAACTGCCAAATGCAACTGGTGTATAAATTTACATAGACTTAAGAGATCATAAGGTAACATGATCACATGGCTGAATCAGGGAGGTATAGTAAGGGGCTAAGTACATTCACACCACATTGTCTTTAGTAAACAGTTTGGCCTCAGTGTGGGAAGACAAATCATCAAGAATCAGCAAAATTTTGCAAGTTGGATATGGCCCAATATTTGTGCAGTGCGCCACAGCCTCTGGTACAAAATATTTCTCAAACGATTTGAGACATAACTTAATGGTCATTTAATCTTCCTTGTTACCATAATATATAACTGAGAATGCCTTTGGGTTTGTACTTTTGCAAATGACAGTGAGCTTGCATTTGTGCTACCTGTAGCATTGCAACAACAAATAACAATCACACTGTTCTTTGATACCTTCACTGCATTTTGCACCTCCTCAATCCCTGTTGCTAAAATTTTGTAAGACACACACATCAACAGACGACACTGTATGTCTGCTTAGGGGATCATTTCACAGTGCCAAGTAATTCTGAAAATTCTTTCATGAACTTGGCAGCTGCTTCAGTATTTGCACTTTTTTCACTATGCACACTGCAGAATTATGTCATACCTGTTCTTAAACCTTTATAGTGAATATTCACACATAATGCAGTTTGAGGTCTTCATGGAATATTTTTGCTTGGAAAATTAACATCTCACCAGAAATGGTCATTTCAAAATTCCAATGAAGCCTAAAGCAATGCATGGGTCCACTACCAAAATCACTTATTTTTCACTGTTAGTAAAAAAAAACTTAAGAATCCTGCCCTTTTGTTTCTTTAAACCACACATTTGGATACTCCACTAATGAGACTTAGGGTCTGTGCTTGTGTGCCCATGTCTTGTGTTTTCAGTAAATAAACATTTTGCAGTTTTGATAATCGCATGTCTATGATTTCCTTCTCTCTTTAATGTCATTTTAAACTGTTAGATGCCAGGAACTGTGACAAGTGTTAAGTGCTGAGAACCCTCACTTGCTGTCTGATTTTTAAAATGCATTTGGTGTTCAGTGCTGGGATTTTGATCAGATAGGCCAATGGGCCAAGAAGTGGCATATAGATTTTATTTTAGATAAATGTGATGTGTTGCATTTTGGTAAGGCAAACCAGGGCAGGACTTTTGTTCTACATTCTATGTTCTAACTGAGGATGCTGTAAATCAGAAACAAACATGGAAGTTGCTAGAAAAGCTCAGCAGGTCTGGCAGCAGCTGTGAAGAGAAATCAGAGTTAATGTTTCGGGTCCGATGACCCTTCGTCAGAACTGCCAGTTCTGACCAGTAACGTTAACTCCGATTTCTCTTTACAGGTAGGGCCCTGGAGAGTGTTGATGAACAAAGAGACCTCGGGGTGCAGGTACATAATTTCTTGAAAATGGAGTCATAAGTTGACAGGGTGGTGAAGAAGGCCTTTCGCACGTTTACTTTCACTGGTCAGTACATTGAGTATAGATGTTGGGATGTCACGTTGTGGCTGCACAGGACATTGATGTGGCCACTCTTAGAATACTGTGTTCAATCCTAGTCTCCCTGCTATTGGAAAGCTGTTGTTAAACTTTGAAGGGTTCAGAAAAGATTTACAAGCATGTTGCCGGGATCAGAGGGTTTGAGCTATAGGGAGAGGCTGAACAGGCTTGGCCTTTTTCCATGGAGTGTTAGAGGCTGAGAGGTGACTTTATAGAGGTTTATTAAATCATGAGGGGCACAGATGGGGAGAATAGCCAAGGTCTTTTTCCCAGGATAGGGGTGTCTAAAACTAGACAGCATAGGTTTAGTGTGAGAGGAGAAAGATATAAAAGGCAGCTTTTTCACACAAAGAGTGGTGCATAATATGGAATGAGCTGCCAGAGGAAGAGGTGGATGCAATTACAATTACAACATTTAAAAGGCATCTGGGTGATGCATGAATAGGAAAGGTTTACAGGAATATGCTCCAAATGCTGGAAAATGGGACTAAATCAGTTTAAGACATCAGGTCGGCACGGGCAAGTTGGGCTGAAGGGTCTGTTTCCAAGCTGTATAACTCCATGACTATCTGTTGCTTATGGCCTCTCTTTAAAATGCACTTTGACGCATTCAGTACTGGGAGCTCTTGTTTGCTGCCTGCTCTTTAAAATTTCTAAAATTTGTGAACTGCATTTTGAATTGATCACTCACTTCTGCTCTGATGAAGAGTCATCTAGACTTGAAATGTGAACTTGCTTTCTCTCCATGGATGCTGCTTGACCCGCTGTGATCTCTATTGTCTTTGTTTTCAGTACAGATTCCAGCATCTGCAGTAATTTGCTCCTACATTGAGTTGATCAATGCTGAATACTCTTGCTTGCTGCTCTTTAAATGCTGGGAACTGCCTTTACAAAAGTTAAATCACAAAACTCTGCTTGCTGTGTCTAAACCGTTTTCGGAGCAGTTAAATGCCTGGAAATCTTCCTTGCTGCACTTTAAATCACATCTTTTTCAGAAAACCAGAAACACCACAGATTCTTCAGAAAACATGAAGGATTGTGCGTGCTGGCCCTCAAGGTTTGCCAGACCAGAAAGTGTCAGGTACAACATGTAATCTATTTCTAATTGGTAATATTTTCCTCATAGATACTGGTAGTTTGAAGATTAAATCAATGATAAAAGTTGAATGACCTCAATGCCTGAATGCTGTTGAATAGACAATTTACAGACCATCTGGTTATTACACTGTTCTATGTGCAGTGCAGCAATGAGAGAGAAAAGGGGAAAGCAACTTTTACCTTTTTGTGGTGCAAAGGATCTGTCATTTAAAAGTAATTTTATCTTTATATTGACAAAACTTATGTATTCGTTCAGCTGCATTACAATATTTATTATCAATGGAGAAAGCACCATAATGCAGTGAAAAAAAATTAATGTTCTGTCAGCCTGTAACTGCATCTATAAAATGACTCTGGCTGATTATTTTTTTAAAAACTTGATTTGACACTTAAAAAAATATAACCACAGACTCTGTATATTAATTGCCATGTACTTTGTATGTGTACCTTTCTTTGAAATGGAAATGAACTCTTGTTTTTTCCTTCATCAGAGAGCAGTTTACTGTGTAGACAGCTGTGGCTATTATCAATGCTTAGTTAGGTTTCACTTGACAATGTGTTTAAGCAATGTATTCCATGCATTTGTGTATAAATGACAAAAAGTTATAATAACAAATTGCCCCTTTGATGTGGGTTTTGTTTATAGAAGTTAATGGGATTACAAGGTTTTTCTACATGGCAAGATTTTTTTAAATGTAGCTATCAATGACTGGGAGCATTTTATTAGAGCTCTCCTCCCCAAAGTGTTGTAAAATATGTTCTTGGAATAACTGCACGGAGGCCAGTATCCTGTTACCAAATCACCCTTTATTACCATGTGCACAGGACATGGACTCTGACCAACAAGCTCATAGCCAGTCCCTAGAATAGTGAGAATCTCTGAGACATCTGTTTATATTTGTCAGCCAGGGTTCCCTGATTGGTCCAGGTTAACAAGCCCAATCAGGCAGCTCATATTCAATGAGATCCATTTGGCTCCCATTCCAATCACTACAGTACTGTTCAAACTTCATGGCAATTGAGCACTGCACAGTACATACCGAATAGCCATACAGGCCCTGGAAGTGGCATGGAGTGGAATGGGTGATATGGGGGGCTATGGAGGATAAATGTGGAAGAGGATGGCATATGCCACCTGGCAAGTCATTGGTAGGGCTGAAGGGTTTGTGAGATAAGGGGTGAAGTTTAAGAGACCTTTAACCACTATTAGGAGCTGGGCTACTATGTTATCAATCAATCACCTAAAGCTTGAACAAGGCCTTAATAGGTGTTGATTAGTATTGAAACTTAACAAGTATGAGTCATAGAATCATAGCATTATACAGCACGGAAACAGATCCTTTGGTGCAATTCATCGATATCGACCAGATATCCAAAACTGATCAAGTTCCATTTGCCTGAATTTGGCCCATATCCCTCTAAATCTTTCCTCGTCATGTATGCATCCAGATGCCTTTTAAATGTTGTAACTGTACCCACCTCCACGACCTCCTTGGCCAGCTCATTCCACACACACTCCTGGCTCTGCGTGAAAAAAGTTGCACCTCATGTCCCTTTTAAATCTTTATCCTCTCACGTTAAACCTCTGCCCTCTAGGTTTGGACTCCCGTATCCTGGGGGAAAAAAAAAACTTGGCTATTCACCCTATCCATGCCCCTCATGATTTTTAAAACCTCTATAAGGTCACCTCTTAGCCTCCAATGCTCCAGGGAAAAAGGCCTCAGCCTTTTCAGCCTCTCCCTATAACTCAAACCCTCTGATCCCGGCAACATCCTAGTAAATCTTTTCTGAACCCTTCTATCCCTATAACCCATCTTTCCTATAGCAGGGAAACCAGAATTGAATGCAGTATTCCAAAAGTGACCTCACCAATGTCTTGTACAGCTGTTACTTGATATCCCATCTCCTATACTCAGTGCAGTGACCAATGAAGGCAAGCATGCCAAGTGCCTTCTTTACTTTCAAGGAGCTATGCACCTGCACCCCCAGGCCTACCATCACCTGTAAAAGTCCTGCCTTGGTTTGCCTTACCAAAATACAGCAGCTCACATTTATCTAAATTAAACTTCATCTTCCGCTTGTTGGCCCGTCGGCCCATCTGATCAAGTTCCCATCTTACACTGAGATAACCTTCTTCACTGGCCACTACACCACAAATTTTGGTGTCATGTGCAAACTTATTAACCACTCCTTCTATATTCATATCCAAATCACTTATGTAAATGACAAAAAGCAATGAGCCCAGCACCGATCTTTGCAGTGCACTGCTAGTCACAGGCCTCCAGTCTGAGAAACAGCTCTATACTAATGCACTCTGTCTCCTACCTTCAAGCCAATTTTGTATCCAATTCGCTAGCTTGCCCTGGATTCCATGTGATCGAACCTTACTAACCCATCTTACTATGCAGAACCTTGTTGAAGGCCTGGCTGAAGTCCATACAGACAATGTCTACCGCTCTGCCTTCATCAATCTTCTTTGTCACCTCTTCAAAAAATTCAATCAAGTTAGTAAGACGTGATTTTCCATGCACAAAGTCATACTGACTGTCCCCAATCAGTCCTTGCCTTTCAAAATACATGTATGTCCTCTCCCTAAGAATCTTCTTCAACAACTTACCCATCACTGACTTCAGGCTCACTGGTCTGTAGTTCCCTGGCTTTTCCTTACCATCTTTCTTAAATAATGACACCACATTAGCCACCCTCCAGTCTTCTGGCACTTTACCCGTGGCTATCGATGATACAGATATCTCAGCAGAAGGCCCAGCAATATTTCCCTAGCTTCCCACAAAATTCTGGGATAGACCTGGTCAGCTTCTGGAGTCCCATAACCTACATTTATGCATTTTAAGATTTCCAGCATTACCTCTTCTGTAATATGGACACTTTTCAAGACATCACTATTTATTTCCCCAAGTCCCCTAGCTTCCATATCCTTCTCCACAGTGAATACTAACCCATCTCCTTTGGTTCCACGCATTATCAGCCTCATTGATCTTTAAGGTACTCTGTTCTCTCCCTAGTTACTCTTTTGTCCTTAGTGCATTTGTAGACTCTCTTTGGATTGTCCTTAACCCTATTTGCCAAAGCTAGATCATGTCCTTTTTTTGCCCTCCTGATTTCCATCTTAAGCGTACTCCTACTTCCTTAATACTCCGCTATGGATTCACTCAATCCCACCTGTCAGTACCTGATGTATGCCTCCTTTTTCTTGACCAGATCCTCAATTTTTCTAGTTATCCAGCATCCACTACACCTACCAGCTTTGCCATGTGCAGTAACAGGAACATACTGTCTCTGAACCCAGTTTTGAAGTCCTTCTACCTTCCAACCGTCCTTTTACCTGTGAACATGCATCCCCAATCAACCTCTGAGAGTTCCTGCCTAATTCTGTCGAAATTTGCCTTGCTCTAATTTAGAACTTTAACTTTTAGATAAGGTCTATCCTTTTCCATAACAATTTTACAACTAGTACAATTATGATCACTTGCCCCAAAGTGTTTCTCCACTGACACATTGGTCACTTGCCCTGCTTTATTTCCCAAGATAGGGTGAGGTTTTGTTCCTTCTCTGGTAGATACATGCACTTATTCAATAAGAAAATTTTCTTTTACACACTTCCTCTTCACCTAAGCCCATAACACAATGGCAGTCCCAGTCTATGTTTGTAAAGTTAAAACCCCCTACCATTACAACCCTATTATTCTTATAGATATCTGAGATTTCCTTACATATTTGCTCCTCAATTTCCCGCTGACTATGGGGGGAGCGGGGTTGGTGGCGACTATAGTGTAATCTCAATAAGATGATTATCCCTTTCTTATTTCTCAGTTCCACCCATATAACTTCACTGGACCTTCTCCCAGGAATTATACAACCAGAATTGCATTATTAACCAAAAGCATCACTCCCCCTCCTGTCCTGCCCCCCTTTCTCTCCTTCTTGCAGCTTTTACATCCTGGAACATTAAGCTGCCAGTCCTACCCTTCCCTGAGCCAAGCTTCTGTAGTAGCTATGATATCCTAGTCGCATGTTCCCAAACATGCTCTAAGTTCATCTGTGTACCTGTCAAGCCTCTTGCATTGAAACAAATATAGTTTAATTTATCAGTCTTACCTCGTTCTCTGCCGTATTCTTGGCTGCTTTGACTATTTAACTGCTCTTCTTATCTTCTTATCTTGCTCTTGTCCCAGCCTCAGACTTATCTCTTTCCTCACTATCTCTTTGGGTCTCAAACCCCCTCCCACTAGTTTAAAGCTTCTCGAGTAGCACTCGCAAATCTTCCCACCATGATATTGGTCCCTTCCAATGCAGGTGCAACCCATCCTTCTTATACAGGTCAGTTCTACATCAAAAGAAATCCCAATGGTCCAGAAATGTGAATCCTTGCCCCTTACACCAGATCCTTAGCTACACATTCACTTGCCCTATCCTATTCCTACTCTCCGCAACACATGGCACCACAGGTAATCTAAATATTATTTCTTGGTACAGATACTACAGAAGCTCCTTCAGAAGACCTACATTTTAACCTCCTGCCTAATTTCCTATATTCTCTATGCAGAACTTCATTCCTTTCCTTACCATATCATTGGTACCAACATGTACAACAACCTTGTGCTGGTCACTTTCCCCTTCCAGAATATTCTGTACCCGCTCTGAGACATCCTTGTCATCTCAGCTGTATTTGCGTGAGTGGCTGTTGAAAGCGCACAATCAGCAGGCTTTGCACAATTAGGGCTATGGGAGCTCACATCTGGAATGAGGCACAATTTGAGTGAGTATATATTTCCAGGATTTTGGAGCAGTGTGGGAATTTGGTGCAGAGGGAAAGAGGTTTTTTTTTATTGCTTTATTTGGTTCATAATTTATAAAGTCTTTTAACATGGTAAATTGAAGCCAAGGAGTGGGGTCCCAGCATAAATCTGAGTGACATCACAGGAAAACTGTAACTTCATTGGTCAGTAACAGCTATTTATTTGA